TGTGTTGACCATGAAGGGCAGGTAAATATAATAAGCTGAATAATGCCCCCATTTTTATGTTGGTTTAATTTAATTATCAAGCACGGAATAACGTTGAGCCGCTTTCGCCTAACTTGTTGTCAACTGCCATGCATCAAAAGTCATACTCATATCTAGGGTTGGACACCGGTTCCCGGTATCGGTCCTATACCGAATAGTAACTTCGTAAATAACCGGTATATACCGTTTCGTAAAATACCGGTACTGGATTTGATACTTTTGTAATGTTGTTAAAAAATAATTTAATAGTCAATATGTCAAAAAAATAAGAAGATTTTTAAATAAAACAGCCTACAAACACGATAAACAAACTATGAACTACTATTATCATGTACGAGTACGGCTTTCGCGGCAAAGTTGAAGTTTGTGAAGCGGCGATATTTTTGTAAAAGTATTGTGCCGCTTATGTTCAAGATAATAATATTTTTGTACTCTGCAGAAAAATAAAATTATTTAAACTGATTTTGGTAAAAGTTTGTAAATTTTAAATGTCAAAGAAACAACAAGAAAACAAATCAAATACTTGAGTAATCATCGTCACATCGCACACAGTCCTTCCAAACACATCGCACACAGCTTTTGCCGTAATGACAATGTAAATCCAACATATGACAATTGTTAATTCAAACAATGCTTTTAAAAAATAATTAAATCCTTTTTTCAGTTTAAATTTCTTAACACTCATAATGAATACATATTTAATGTTTCCAGGTTCTTTTCTTCCATTACCTGCATGCACATGTACAAATTCACACGTGAATTACGATTTGAACATAAATCAAAATGAGGCCGAAATATTCCAACAAAATATCCCTCCTTTTGTTTTTTGGTGTTACACTGAACTATTATTAAACATGTATACATTTTCTTAACAAAAGAATGCTGACAGAACTTCAGTCAAAAAGTGTGAATGTCGGCGGCTCTTTGATGGCGATAGAGTAACAACATCAAAGGGAGGCATATTCTTTTGAATAGCCTATTATGCACCTGTCAAAGGTCAACTTGTGTGTATTACACATTTAGATCTGTGATACTTTAAACAACTGAAACATATTTCATATAGTGTTTTGTAGGATTTTTTGCAAATTGTTGGCTAGTATTTTTGCGTATTTGAGCAGTATGGAATTATGCAATTTTGTGAGGACACTACCCTTTTTTCTGTAGCAAGATGTTCACGGTGCATGCTATTGAAAAATAAAAGATGTATAAAATTGAAAGGTAAATGCAATATTAATAAAAACCAAATCCTTATTATTTGTAAAGCATAGGTATTTGCTTTATGACTTCTACAAGGACTAATATTAGGTTAACATGAAAATGTAAACAAGTCATTTTGGAAACAGTCTGTGCATATACATGTATTTTCAAATTTCTAAGTTAATTACTTGTGGAAAATATGTTTGTGCTGTTGTAGTAGAACAGACTGGAAACATAAGTGACTTTGAAAAAACATCTGATAAAATTTCTTTCTTGTAATTCAAAATTGCAAAGTAAGCCAACCAATCCAGTGATTTCATTTATTACAGTAAACAATAATGTGATTTAAAAAAGAATATCAGCATCAGAATAAAATTTCTACACAGTAATAGATAACCAACTGTCTTAAATTCTTTTAGATGTAGAAATATCAAGATTAAAACAATAATTTGTAGACTTCTCAGCTGCAGACCGCTGTCCTGCATAAGTTATTTTTCTGTGTTTAAATCATGTCATGTTCTTTTGATGAAAAAGTAAAAGTATTTTACAAGTAACATGTGTAAATGTTGTAAAAAAGAGTAAACACAAAACAACAAAACATGGAACTTGAGAAAAGTATACTTTACAGCATGATCGAAATTTCAGAAAGACCAGTATAAATATAACATATTTATTTTCTAGCACTACATGTTGTATCTCTTCAGTTCTTATACTTGCAGCAAAATGTTTGATGTGGTATTGTGAAAGTATCAGTATCGATAAAATACCCGTATCGTTTCGTCAGTACCGGTATCGGTATCGGACCGTTTCGTGAGAAACGATATCCAACCCTACTCATATCATGTTTTTCTGTTACCATGGAAATAAGAATGGTCGCCAATATTACAGCATTAAATAATAATTAAGTACCTACACAATTTACAGGTAGTTACCGTGTATCAAGTTGTGTTTTACCCATTTAGGCTTTACTTGCGAAATTACCGTTATTGTGTAAACTGTTGCATCATCGTTGTTCAAATTTATAAGAATATCTATTGTATCAATGCGACCAGGGGGAATGACTGAGTATTCTCAGTCATATTAGAAGACGCTATGCATTTTGGATACATGTGTACAATACAAACGATACTGAATATTTTTTATGAACTATTGTTCACTAATATTTTTGTTATTGCATTTGTTATCATTAAGTTAAATGTGCTGTTATCCTTTATTTATAACAACATATTGTCTGAAAGTTAAATGTTGGCTGAAATCATCTTAAATTGAAAATATTATCCTTAAAAGTGTATCATATAACGACAGTTAAAATGGTAAACAATGCATGGTCTTCGAATGTTTAAGATATGGTCGATTGTTTTGTTTAAAATATAGCAGAATCTAGGGTTTTCAAGTAATAAATTGTTTTTGTTTGACTTCAGCAGTGTTTATTAATTGTTATCTGACATGCAGTTTTACAATATAATTATGTTGTGATAAACAGAAGTTTCTTCATAAGAATATACTGCAGTATGTATTATCGTTTAGGAAAGTCCAAGAAATTATATACTTCAGGTAATTCGCCAATGAATAACTTTTCGGAAACTATAACAAAAAACACAAAAATATTAACAAGAATTTTGAGAAATAAAATCAAGAAGTATCACTGGTTAGCTTGCATAATTATGTTAGTTCTTATTTTCCACGCAAAATCAGAAAGAAATGTTAGCATCGCTTGTATATCAATGACATAATAATTTCTTGTCTTTAATCTTGAAAAATGAACATTTTACGATGTATGTGTTTCTAAACGAACATGTCGTGTTTCTATAATTTAACTAAATTTTACTACCAACATCTACTCAGTCGTTAAGCATATAACATTACAAATACGATTTGATTAATATGCAAAACTTAAATGACATTTATTATATATTAGACACTTACTTAACATAAAAACTCAGGGTACCTGATTATTATGATATTATTCTCGTTATTTTGAACAAAATTTAAAACTTAAATCTTGTGTAAAAACTGAACTGTTCAATAGAACATGTAATGGGATCTCAATGGATCTCAATGGAATGTGGGAAGAAGTGTCAAACAGAAATTAAATATCTCCAGCAATCTAACTAGAATGTTAAAAATCTTGTATATTTTATTTTAGAACTATCCTATACCACTGTATACATTTTATTTCATAACGACAAGAACTATTCTCCACATTTTATCTTTGAATGTCCTATGAGAATCCAAAATTTCATTTTATAATTTAAATGTATATAAACATAAATGATGATAAATGTTTATAAATGACCAAAATATTCAATTATTCCCAGTAAATGTTACATGAAGTCAAACTGATTTTAGACAGACATTCGGTCGGAATAATAGCTTTTCTTGGGATAATCAATCTTTATTTGCCATGACATTATAAAATTATCACAATTCAATACACATGTAATTTATTTTGCAATTTATTGAAACAGCTGACAAGTAACTCGGTACGCAAACAATAGATTTCTCAGAAAAAAATCATAAAAGCAAGAAAACAATATCAGCTAAAGAAAAGTTTGACAATGACATAGTCAAATATTTTGCTACAGAAATATATCATCAATTCGTTTTAAATGAATACATGGACATTGTGATATCGATCTTAATATGCATTGCATTGTATAATGGTTTCACCTATCGCGAATTAGAAAGATTTTGGAAAAAATATCAAGGTATAAATTCTCAATTTTTATTTGCAGAAAAAAGTCTGAAAAAACTTTAAAACATCCGAATATATCAGTCTAGCATTAAATAGCTCTGAGGAATTTAAAGTACTTTAAGTATTAGGGGTATGCAGATAATGCTTCACAATTACTTCAAAATATCGGAAAACCGTTTATATTGTCGTGGTCACTGTTGCCAATTGACTCAAAATTACTTTTCAGACTACGAATGTATTGTTCATTAGATTTCTGGATATATTCGTGACAAGTTCAAAGGTCATGGTCACTAAAGGATACAATGTGTAATTTGTTTGTTATACATGCATATTATTTTCCAAAACCGAATGCTAAATAAACTTTTTACACCGGAATCAATGAAATATGCTGAGTATTTTCAATATCTATAATTTAACAAACAAGTAAACAATTTACGTACATGATTCCTGTTTGACAATTATGCTCACGCATTTTGATTCAATAAAAGGTACCATCACATCCTAAAAATTTGGAACGGCCCTTTTAGGTAAATAATTTAATTTTTCAATATTCTTATTTACAAATGTAACAACTCAAAACACGAAAACTTAAAGTATGCCTAAAACGACAAATTGTTGCAGACTCGGTTTAATTGAACCTGTTTCTGCAATGTCCAATGAGATTCAAAGATTTCATTTTATAATTTTAAAATTTTAAAATAACCAATGAAAACTCTTCCTATATTCAATTTTCGCTGTAAATATTACATGAAGTCAAACTGATTTGAAACAGACATTCAGTTGGAATAATTGCTTTTCACGGAATAACCGACCTTAAATTACCATGACATTATATCACAATGCAATACACATTTTATTTTGCAATTTATTGAAACAGCTGACAAGTGACTCAGTACGCAAACAATATATTTCTCAGGAAAAAAATCATAAAAGGAAGAAAACAATATCAGATAAAGAAAAGTATGACAATGAACATAAAAGGAAGAAAACAGTATCAGATAAAGAAATGTATGACAATGACAAAGTCAAATATTTTGCTACAAAAATATACAAAACTAGCAAAGGTTTGGAAGTCAGTATAATCATCATTTCATTTTTAATAACATGAATACATGGACCTTGTGATATCGATCTTAATATGCATTGCATTGTATAATGGTTTCAGCTATCGCGAATAAGAAAGCTTGGGGAAAATATCAAGGTACAAATTCTCAAATTTAATTTGCAGGAAAAAGTCTGAAAAACTTTGAAATATCCGAATATATCAGTCTAGCATTAAATAGTCCTGAGGAATTTAAAGTACTTCATGTATTAGGGGTATGCCGATAATGCTTCGAAATATCAGAAAATCGTTGATATTGTCGTGGTCACTGTGGCCAGTGGACTCAAAATCACTTTTCAGACTACGAATGTATTGTTCATTAGAAGTCTGGATATATTCGTGAAAAATTCAAGGGTCAGGGTCATTTAAGATTAAAGTGTGTTATGTATTTGTTATACATGCATTTTATTTTCAAAAGCCGAATGCTGAAGACAATGTTTTACATAGGAATCAATGAAATATGCTGAGTATTTTCAATATGTAGCAGTCGATTAATTTCTTTGTTATAAAGCTGATATAAGATGCTCTTTAGAGATGCATTTGGTTTGATTGAAATTTAACTCATCCAAATTGATCTTTCTTAATACGTTCAAAATTACCGGAAGAAAGGATCAGACGCAAGTATAACCAACGACCTAGCAGGAAATTACATTTACAAACCACAAAACGAACGCTAATGTGGCAAACAACGCTAATGTGACAAATAACTGACAGGAAATTACTAAATGAAACGTTACTCTTGTGGTATTGGCATTTTATATATTTTACTAATAAAGACACAAAGCGAAAAAGAAGCTACTTTATTTACCAATTACTTGACAATATATGAAAAGCAAAGACAAGGTGGTCAATGGGACCAAAAACGCTTACCTGAGGACAGATTACAATTTGTGTAAAAGCAGTGAAAACATGTGTGATTATTAAAAGAATCTACTTACCATATTAGTCAGTAGACAATGCTTCATGCAAAATATATGACTATATCCATGGTTATAATTACATAGCTGTACATCAAAATACAAGGAATGAGGACATTAGACCAATCTTTTCTCAATTTTACATCTGACACTGTTCACATGATCCAAGTTTCACAGCTGAACATCAAACAATAAGTTGGTCACTAGGTCAAAATCTAGGCCAGCCCATATCTAGTTTAATTTCATTCTACATTTTAAGGCTGTATATCAAATAGGAAAATATAAGATCGCTGAGTCCTCTGGCCAATTTAGACCAAAAAACTTTACTTTAAATAATCATGCTAACAATCTACCAGACAATGTTTCCTGTCAAATATCTAAGCTCTAGCTTTCTGGTTTTAGAGAAAAATTCTTTTTTAGTTTCTGTGTTATCTATAAAAGAATACTCATGACCAGCAAAACGGGGCTTATTTCTATCCTAGTGACATAATTTGAAAATCTTTCTACAGGTTAACCATGTGTTGTGAAAAATTAATTTGATCTTGCCTTTTAAGTTTCAGAGAATACTTTTCCTATACGATTTTGATATACATATATATGTACATAATTGCAATCTTTGAGCCCGAGATTGGACTAATCAAATGTCTATAATTTGAAGGAACTTGGTGAAGGTGCACTACACATTGTTTCATGTCAAATATCTTACCTTTAGACTTTGTCATTGCAGAAGAGAAGTGAAGTATTTAATACTATAAATATATAAAACAAAATCCATGTCCTTTACAGCGGGGACATAATTTGAACAACTTTGAAAAGAAAATTTCGTGTTTCGTGCCAAATAGCATAGCTCTAACTTTTGTAATTTCAGAGGAGAGGAATTTTTTTTACTATATGCATCCAAGGATATACCCACCAGATGCAATAATTTAAACAACTTTGTAAGAGGATCGATAAATGATCTTCCATATAACTATTATGTGGTCTTGTAATTTCAGACAAGGAGAAAGGGCCACGAAAGGATCATTCCTGTTGGCTTTAGTGGAGATGTTGCTTTCTTTAAGAAATGTTTGACGACACAGTGCACTATGCACGACCATGGACGACGGACTGAGAATGTTCTAAAAGCTCACCAGGAGCACGTTGTGCTTCTTTTGACTAAATGTATTTTGAAATTAAACAAACAAGAAAACATTTTACGTACATGATTCCTATTTGACAATTTTGCTCAGGCATTTTGATTCAATGAAAGGTACCAACACATCCTTATTATTAGGACTGGTCCTTTTAGGTAAATAATTCAATTTTTCAATATTCTGAATTAAACATACAACAACTAAAAAACCGGAATCTTAAAGAATGCCTAAAACGACAAATTGTTGCAGACTCGGTTTGATTGAACCTGTTTCTGGACGGTAATGAAAAGTGCAAGTTACAATTCACGCCCTCTAGCTACGGCTTAATCAGAGTTCACCATAAAAATAATGAAGTTTTGATACAAAACACAATAATTTTCTTTTTAACTACTGATACATTTGATTATGTATATAGTCAGACTGTGCTAATTAGAACTGGTTCCATTCTCCACCTAAGTCAGAAGTGACACTTCTCTTTGGTGACGACACAGACACTTTTTTCATAGCAAATTGATTTACAGTTGTCGAGTTCTTTTTCATCAAACGATCAAACCGTGGGTCTCGGCTTGTACTCTGAGCCTTGCCTCCTAAGTCTGTGGAACTAGTATCAGGTAGGATGTCTACTTCACCAGGAAGATTCTGGTCGACTGTAGATTCTTGTCGTCTACGAGTAGAGTCAATTACCCAGTATGTATTCATCTCTCCTTTGCCCTGTAATTAAATATGTTATTTCTTCACTTAAAATTCCTTTTTTTATAATTCCTCAGTCCTTAGAAGAAAAAAGAGTTTTTGTCTTTAATAAGTATACAGTATGATGACTTTCGAATAGATTTCTTTTACATTCGTACAGACGCTAAACTTTTTTACATGTAATAGTATTTCAAAACTTTTCTTAGCTTCACGTAAAATCTATCTATCTTAAAAAACTTAATATATATTTCAGCTAACTCTTTAAAATAATAATGTATAGCGAGTATAAATATATACCTTTTAACGACACTAAAAAGTTCCCCCCAAAAAAATATACAAACTTTTTCTATTTTTACCTCATATATCAATTTATTATCTAAAAAGGTTTTCCGATATAATTTAAATAAAAGATAATTATCTGATTATGAGTGTAAGATTAATTAGATAGTTAACTAACTAATTCAAACGTTTAATAAATTAACTGTTACAGATGATTATCAAATTCTTAAAAGTTAAAATTAAAAATGTTTTAGTTTAAGGCACTTAATATATAAGACAATAACTGGAAATGCAAGGGATATCAACAAAATATATAAACGATGCATGTGTGTCTAATGAGACTGAAAGTTTAACAAGCTTAACATATCTGACATTTCAATTAATGACATGACAAAAAAACTCGAAAAGTTTTTATCAGATAATCATCTAACATTTAATTGTAAATGCTGGCAATTTCAGTCTCTTTCTGGTGTTCTTGGAAGTAAGATTGACATCTGTTATTTAATATATTAGATAGAATCGTGATGTTTAGCATGATAGTGGCTATAAATGTTTATACTTGAGCAGTATTTATTAGTATAAAATTGGTCTTTCACTTAAAAACATAACAAATAACTTGCAAGTTACATAAATAAAGTGTTGTTTGTCTTAAATGTCCATAACATTAACAAATATTAAATTAAGTAAATGTCTCAAATTATCATTATTTTTTTAATCTGATTAAACTAATTTAACACACGTGTAACAGGATTATCTCCCGTTGTTACCCGGATTATGTATTTATAGTCTAATTTTTAATTTTAAGTTACAACTTAAAAACTAAAAACTTAACAACAATTTAATATTTCATTCAACTAATTAACAAGTCATATTTCTGAAGCATTAAAATTGACAATGAGATTTAGCTTTTTTAGATTTAGTAACCGTTCGCAAAAAATAAAAAGTTCTCTTAAGTTCAACAAGAAATGGCGAAGTTCTTACAAGAGGTAAGAAGTACCTTGCAAGTGCCTCTAAACCAGCGACTAAAGTGAGCCTTTTCTCTGTCAATTTTTTTCCTTTTCATACCAAATTTAACACATATTGAGGGAATGTACAAAAACAGCCACTGATTTAAATGGTAACTGTCTGATATACTATGTAATCGTTAGTGTTAACCTAAACAAAAAAGAAGTACAATACTTATTGATTAACCATTGATAGTAAAATGACTGTGTATTTTAAAGATACGTGAATGATTTCAACACGTAATTAGTACCGCAGTAAAGAAATAAATTTGTAAAGTAATTTTCTATCTAATTATGTCTAAATAGACATTAAAGCCATTCCGTCCACGCTCGCACTCGCGCAGAAGGAGATCACACCAACTCCTATCGTTAAAATAATCATTACAAAGTTTCAAACTATGAAATATAAAAACTAAGATTGAGTGTTAAGACTGATCTCAAACTCACTTTGACGACAATTTTACCCCTAGGCAACAAAGTAAACGCTCCTGTCTTGCTGAGGTTCCTGAAAGTTGATTCGCTGATGTGGATTTTGTCGGCTGAAAATAATTTACAATTTTCCATAAAATAAAATATCATACGCTGAAGGAAAACAACTACAATGTTACATGAATGTACGTAATAGATGTACGCTAATAAGAAAGAAATAACATCAGACATTGAATCATTTTCATAGGAGTTTAGCTATCTATACCGCTGACCCACTTTTTGAATGCACGCGTAGTTTTTATCCAGATAGATCTATACGACGTTTAATTAGATGGTTTAAACCAATATGACTAAAGAAAGAAAAATAACCCTTACGATGCCCATTAGACTTCATTCTCGACGCAGTATTCACGGTGTCTCCGAACAAACAGTATCTTAGCATCACATTTCCAACCACTCCAGCTGACACTGAACCTAAAATATAGATCAATGTTAAGTTCCTCTTGAATAGAATGATAAAAAGTGCGTTGACAACCAGCTCTAGAAGACGTTTGTACAATGGTATGTGAAAGCATGTTGAATAACAAATATTCGCCCTAGAAAGAAGTGAACGCTAGAAAGAAAAACAAAATTATTCAATTGCAAAACACAAAATAACTTACAACTGTAATACTCATCCGTACATACTAGAATGTGGCGTTAATGGATATTTGGCAAAGAAAGACAAAATACTTCTAAGCTTATAAATTCAGTCTAATGAGCTTATGCTGGGTAATATTTTAGACGATAGTGACCAATCATATGGATAGTTTCTTTGTTGCCATCGTAACGTGTGCAAAATAGTTATTTAAGTACTGACAATATATGCCTAGGAAATATGAGTGAAGCATATGACCTACCTGTACTTATACCAATCAATAAATGCAGTGGATGCTTGGTGTTCACGGATACGAGTGTCTTATACTTCACTGATGACACTATATCCAAGGCAAGGTAGGTGATTTCTGAAGCGTGTCTGTTACCGTTTGGTGTAGGCACCCCTAATTGAACAAAAAAGTATTGCTGTCATAAACCGACTGGTTATTGCAAATAATACATCACCTCCTAACACAAAGATTTATAAATTGTGACACCTTTCAACATTTTTATACACTTATATTTGTGTACTGCTTAAGCAGGTGCGGCGAGGAAGAGATATTGCACATTAATTTTATCATATCATCTACTGCAGTTTTTTATGAGGTTCAGTATAAAAATATATTTAAACATTTTTGTTTTATTGGAAGTTACTCATAAACTTTGCTACAAAAACCGGAATGACTGAGGTTTGCCACCTATGGTTACAATAGAAACCAAATAAAAGTTAAACATCTCTTTCTATATACATATACCATTATGAGTCAATAAAATAAAATCATTGCACAATCAAATGTCCGAAGTATATACGAAAAGTGTCAAAATAAATCGTGTTTACATGATTAATTGCATTTGTAGATTCGATTTATCAAAACAGAGTCAAGAGATCTTGTTATACAAGATAAACAGCTTACCTGATACAACCATGTACGTGTCATTTATTGTCTCCACCTTGTACACGTCATACATCTCGATTTTGTCATCGATAGAGGAATAAAGAATATTAAGGAGGTCAATTAGCTCCATAGGAGAATATTCAATACTCAGCTGAATAAAATCTACCACGCTGGTGAACATTACAGTGGCGGATTTGAAGAATTCAGATTCTACAGCACTCTTCCGTTTTAACCTATCTGCAATCGGTCGGGGTAACATCTGATAAAGAAGGGAATCTGTTTTAGAACGTTCTTTGTTAAGTTCATCAGACGCCTTTACCAGGATCTTCGAGTACTCCTGCATGTTGCTTGTCAATTGCTCCGAGAAGGACATGATAAATGGGCACGCTATAATCACCAACGAAGCTGTGACGCTGTATATGATGATGTTTTCAGTGTATCCGTCCACTGTCGAATTTATACGCCGAATAACGCGCATAGCAACCGCTTCCTGTAATATGTATAAATAATCGACTCTAAATGTTGAATTGTCGAAATAAAACTCTGCCTTTTCCTTGCTGACATAATTTCCAGAGAAGTTGCTGTTCTTTATTTCTGTACGAAGTCTACGTATTGCAATTGTATAACTTCTTTGATCTGTTTTCGCTTCAAATAATGGATCAACAAGGTCGGATAGAAATGTTGCACTTTTGTAGTTGTAGTTGAAACGAAATATCCGCCGGAAGTAGTTATCGTATAAATCAATGTCGGGGAAATTTCCTTGAGCAAAGAACATGGCCCCATAAGCTCGTTCTGCCCCTGTGTCCAACATACACCGTGTAATTTTCTGAAAAACAACAAGTGATTTCCATATGTTCCCAAAGCCGCTTTCTCGAATTCGCTCAATCATCCAATCCATAAAGAATTCAACAATTTCGCTGTAAAACTTGATCTCTCCATATACATCTGGTGAATTTGGGTCAAGTTTATTCCTTTGGCTATTTATATGGTTTATAAGCATTTGTTTGGATCTGAAATGTTTCTTTTCATGGACTGTGAATTCTAAAGGCCAGCTCCACATTTCGGCGAATGATTTGTCAGTCTTGTCGTATTCGTCAATCAGAAATGCTTTTGTACTTGGTCCTATTCTACTAATGTATAAAATGCTCATATCCCGTTCTTTCTGGATCGTGTATATTAGTCTTCCCAAACTGATCGCCCTCAACATCAACGTTTGAGCCTAGAATTTATAAGAAAATAGTGAGAATGTAACGAAATTTAATGTGGTCTATGTAATAATCAATGGTTTCATAAAAATACAATAACAAATGTGTATATTTACAGAACACCAAAAAATAACAAAGGTGTTTCTCTCTCTCTCTCTCTCTCTCTCTCTCTCTCCTCCTCTCTCTCTCTCTCTCTCTCTCTCTCTCTCTCTTCGACGAACGGAAATTTAAAACTCCAAAATGACAACGAATTATGCTCTATTTTTCGCACAGTATGTCGGTCAAGATTGTATCCATTTGCAGACAGAGCATAAAGCATATGAAACAGCCCGCTACTTACAAAAACATAATACTAAAAAGCCAACTTTCGGGAAACTCACAGACTACTGAAAGTAAGATATTTTAACGTTGCCAAATTTCGAGAAATTTTCTACAGTAAAATATGGTTTTAAACTAATTTACCTCAACAGTTGTATCTTTTTCCACAATGTTATCTGCAAGTGAGTACAATGTGAAGGTCCAACCTCCCAATATAGGGATAAACACGACTGTCAAGAGTTTCCCTAAATGAATCCATTTTCCTCGAGTGCTCAGATAATCTGCCCGGAACAATCTTCCTGATATATATAATCACATTGATTTGAAATATTAGGACATATTTTTACTATATAAGTCAAGAGCAACTCCTGCTTTATTATTATAGTTGCATACTTGTGTACGATGAACTTCTGTTAAAACTATGAAACAAATAGAACGGACTCGTGAAAATAAAACTTTATAGCACATTCGTGCGTAATGATTGATTGATTTAAATACATAACGAGTAGCTGCATGATTTGTACCTTGTCATATTTACATTCTGCGGGGCGTCTGGCGAAAACACGACAAAGTGTTTACCCGTCGTGCCACGACAAAGTATTCGTGTTTTCGTCAGGCGCCCCGCGGACCTAAAATTTGTCAATATCATAGGATTTGCAATTTTAATGACTGTACGTACAGGTAAAATTATGTAAGTATGATTTTAATAACACGAATATTGGACGAATCGTGTTATTAACCTAGAAAATGTTTTGCACGATTGTGTAATGATAATTTGCTTTATATTGAAGAAAGTATATCTATTTATTCGGTTATTTCCTCTAAGACATTATTCTGTATATAACCAATATTGAATTTTGAACCTCTCCACTAAAACAGAAAAAAAACAATTAAAAAGAGAATGATAATTACCACATCCGATAGCCGTTGCTCCGTCATTTTCAGTCAAGCTTAGATGTGACAGTGAGCTATTCCGTTTAGACGTTGTACTAAAAAATATAACATCAAACCTATTTTAAATTGCACGCTCTTAAAGAGATACACATCTTTTTCAATCAAATTTTAGAGTAAAACAGTTTACACCTTCATTCAAAACTTGAATACTCAAAATGGCAAATTAAAGTGGAACACATTACTAAGGCTTTTTACTTTAATCATGGCTAAAACGCTTGTTATTTAATCAAATGATTCACGGAAATTATATACGGTCGTGTCCAAATAATCAATTATACTCACAGTTGAGATAATGTGTTATTTTATGTACAATATCTCCGCTAGAAGTGAGATTTTGATCATATATCAGGCTGGTTTCCTGACCAGTTTTTTTTTCTACAGTACAGTATATTCTTTCTGCAGTTAAACTTTGCTACATTACAAACATCTGTACGATATTGCGATCGCTTATCTTATGTAGATATAATCTATATCGAATATTTCAATAATTTATTATCATGCTAAGTAAACAAATCTTCCCCAGCCCATTACTTAAAATAAGCACACGCCCAAAAGCAAAACACGATAACATAATGATACTCAAAACAAATTACTCAGAAAAAGTGCCATATGACCATTCATCTAGTTATGGTGTATCCTTCCAAATAAGGGCAATACGGCCTATTCAAATCGGCCGAAACCCTGTATAAATAAATCGCAGTTTTTTGTGTTTTTTTTTTTTTTTTTTTTTTTGGTTTTTACGTCACATCGACACGTTCCAGCTTTACTGGTGGAGGAAGTTTTAGTGAAGCTGTTCTTAGTCATGCAGACTCATCTGAAATACGGCCCCAAATTATTTCCTAGGTCGTTTAGAGTTTTATTAACATTATATCGACAACAAATCGGCATAATACATAAACAGAAAAATCTCAAAACCTCCTCGGGGGTTTAAAGACGTTTAACATAGTTTTTTTCTTAATCACATATCGGTGTCGTCGCTTTTCGACTCTGTAAAAATGGTATTGCACGATAGTGTATATATATAGAGGATATTTGTTTGTTTTGCATGTAAGATTGAAATATAGTTTCACTGAGTGAACACCAGATGCAGTATTTTCACGAGTGGCGTAGCCACGAGTGAAAATATGATAGCTGGTGTTCACGAATGAAATATATTTCAATCTTATATGTAAAACAAATACATTTTCTTTTTATTTCAAGCTTTTTAAGTCATTTTAAGTATTTTTTACTGATTTTGCCGCGTAACGTCACGCATTCACCTTTGTGACGTCATCATATCATGACGTCACATCATCAATTTTGAAATATAGGTCTGTTAAATATCTCTAATTTTGTTACATTTTTAACATGATGTATGGTGACATCGACTTTCTTTTCCTAAAGAAGCAATATTTACGCATGACGGCATTTATTTCTGCCTGTTATTCCATTTAGTTATGATTTTCTTTTCATCCGCATTCAGATATAGTCCGGCTACAGTGAAAATTATATTTTATAAATTTCACTAATGCTTTATCAGAATATAATCATCTGATATATTACAATAAAACACTGGAAAGCATTAAATAAATATATATATATTTTGACGTAACGTCATTTGCATTATATAAAGACGTTCGACGCGCTAAATAAGCGTCGTCAATGAAAAAAATAGTTCCTTTTCACTTCAAACGGTCTTTATTTTTGGTGTGTGATAAATAGAATATTAAAATTGTGCGCAATCTTTTTTTACTGAATTTATTGAACATGTTTAAAAAATAAGTGTATGCTCGCATATTATAATTTTATTCAACTCGTTCAATAAATTCAGTATTAAACTTACACTCATTCAAAATCCCCTATTTCTTTTTTATATAGACAAAAAATAGAAAACCAGTGAACAGAATTTGCTTACACTTTGTAAGATGAAAGTGAATTATAGTTTGGAAAATATAAAGAAAGATTTGGGACACTAAAGGAAACGTCTTTAATTTTAAAACTATTTTGACTTATATATTACATACCTGTTCTTTTAATATATGTAATGAATTAATGAACAGAAAAAAAGTATTTTTAGTCTGTACGATCATTTTTACAGCAGGTATAATTCTAAATTCATATGAAATAACTTACATTCTTTTCTCGCTCATGTTCATTTAAAAACATTCAAATATGTGTTATATATGAAATGTAATCCAAACTTATTCAGTAAATGTTTTAACAATATATATAGCATTCAGCCTCACTTTGTTACCACAGAAATGATAGCTTATGAAGTAGTGTACTTAATTATATACAATTTACACGTTTTGGCGTACACCTGCTGCTTTAATTTTGGTCGAAAATTGTCTCCAATTTTAGGCTTAATTAACCATAATTGACCATTTAGTTGTAAAATAATGTTATAATCGTTTCACGTAAGCAAATAACGTGGATACAGTAACTCTTGTATGTTTTAATGATTTCCTTAGCAACCATGTCAAAATGATAATTATAATGAACGTATATTTTTCCATGAAGGAATACTTTTTCGATTTTTAAAATCTTTTTTTTTTTATTTATTTACTAATATATTTTTATAATTATTCTTTTTTAATTATTGATGGTATGGGTTGTCAAATCATGGGAAATATTTTGCTGTTTCAAAGTCCTTAATTATGTACTAGTATGTGAGTCAATGTATATTTAAAACCCTTTCACTGCCATAGGGTATTTTCGGCGTATTTGCCATATGGACGGCTTTAGCCGTTTCTATAATAATAATAATAGTAATTATAATAATAAATTAATATTAATAATAATAGAAATAATAATAAATATAAAGACAATTATACCATGGACAATAATTATTATTATACTCACAGATTTGGAAACATATATAATTATTAATATTAATAACATATAATAATGATTATATTTATTAATAATATAATACGCGGAAAGTCCGAGCGGGGCCGAAGGCCCCGCGAGGGCTGTAGCGCTCTTAGATAACATGTATGACGCGTATCAATTCAAAAGAAATCAAATTAAAAGTTAATGAAAAATTCAAAAAAATATATATCCCAAACCTAATGAGCTGCGAATAAAGTTTCCTTTTAAAAGGAAAGGCTTGCACAGTTGTGCCTTCATCCCAACATATTTAGTTGTTTTTATTTTTTGTAAAAACGAATATTTTTGTCAAAACGATTTGAAATCTATTCTCTATTGTATAAAACTAATAAAGAAAATAATCAATCGTAAAAATACTAACGTGGAGATCTATCTATCATACTGAAAGGAAACAAGTGTGCACATTTCATTTCCACTTCGTTACGTGGTACCAATTAATACGGGGAAGTCAAAGACCGGGCCCGCGAAGCGGGTCCGGGCTCTGGCTTGCCCGGCTATAGACTACACGTGTATATTTAAAAGAAAATCAAATAAAAAAACAATTAAAAAATATATAGAAATCTATACCTATCAATGAAATTTTCAGTGTCAGTTCTAGTCGGGCGCCGCCATTTACAATGTAACTCAATGATAAAAGGCGGGGTATTCCGATAACGGAACAAATCTCAACTTTTCGGATCAATAATAAACGTCGAGTGTTCCGAGTGAAAACGGAAGCGGTGCATGTAATACCGAATGACAATTTTAAAACGGAAAGAATGAAAGGAATTTTTTAACGACTTCCCCGTTCATAGGCTTTGCCTAATTTCATATTAAGCATGTTCACAGATACGATGCGCTATCTATAGATCATCACGTGGTAAGGTTAATGATATGCATGGGCTATTTTTAGATTACCTCACCAAGTTCAGTAGATCTAAATATAACTCGATCATGCACTAATATTCTGTGTGATTTGGACCACTCTTTGAAGACGGAATACTACTACAGTCAACATCCTCTATTGTATAAAACTAATACAGACAAAAAACAATTATAAAAGAAACTAACTTTTGCGTCTTGAAAAAGAATTGAAACGGAACAATTTTGTTTATAATTTTTTACGGTTTAAATCACTAAATCAAGTAAAAATACGAATCATATTTATATAAACAAACTGGGATTACCGAAGTAACTAAAATAGCTTAGATTTCCGTAATATTACTTCGTCTGATTCCGCAGTATGACGGAATCGCCCGAATTGTCACGATTGCAATCGGAAGTACATCGGCTATTATCATTAATCCGAAGAGTGACGGAAAAGGCCGAAAAGTTGCGATTGGCACGATTTCGGCTGGTTTCCCGTTCAATCATGCACTTATAAATGTAAGCAGAAAACCACCTAACCGGAACAGGTTTTCCAAATGAAATGGCTTGCAGCCGTGGCTGCAAGCCAAAAAATCCTTAGTTAACTGGGCGCCGCCATTTTGAAATCCTTTTGAGCGCTTTTAATGAGCGTCTACATAATTCAGACTATTGCAGACGCATGCTAAGTAACACTTCCGGTGAAAGAATGATGTACAAAATCAGAAAATAAACCTGCATTTCATTGATAAGAATTATAGTAACGATTATAAATATAAAAAGTTATTCAAGCATATCCTTTTTGATAAATAAGCACATTAAAAATAACGTTAAAACAACAACTGTGATTAGAGATTAACAAAAATGGCGGACGGGATTTTCCAAACGCCGACGCATGCGCAGAGGTCCGGAGTTTTTCGGAATAGTCCGAGCGCTCCGAAGTTAGGTTGAACACCACCAATTTATTCGTTTTGTTTATTCAAATACATGTACACTAAATATGTTATTCTAAAATCATAATTCATAAGAGCTTTCCGCGCCATAGGTAGCACCTAATTTCATATTAATTTCTTAGAAAACCCTCTGGCAAATAGGTGATCAATAAAACAATAATCCTCTGGCAGTGAAAGGGTTAATTTCACGTGCAGTAATGCTAGGTTTTGTTAGTCTCACTATTTCGACTGTAAGAGCTAGACAGACCAATTTTATAATCTGATATTTCATAATATCTGTCTTTAAGGGCGACCATCGTCTATATAATAAAAAGCCCTAAAGCGGCTAACGTTTTGTATAAGAAGAAATAAATAGTGTTGTCATACCTGATGTTTCTAGCTATTTACACAATGTGTAAAATAAACAAATCACAAAATGGCGGTCGATATACGAATAGCGAGCGCATGTGAGCGATTAAAACCAGAAAATATTGATGAGTTGTCAAATTTGGTTACCCCAGGCGATGTCATTACATCAGACACTGGTTTTATGAGGTGACTGACTTAACAGTTTTTAGTGATAACGGAACATTTTAATAGAAAACATTTTAAACCGCTCGTTCTGAAAAATTGATAACGATTCGCACCACTGACGACTCGCCCCACTTAAGTGAAGATTTGCCCAAGATGAATGACTGTTCGTCACTCTTTAAAACAATTATTAAAACGTTCTTTAGGTAATCAAAAATTTCAAATTAGGCAAGCCTATGAACGGGGAAGTCTGTATTTTTATTTTACATTTCCCGTAATAAAAGTGTCATTCAATATTTTTTAAACTGCTTTCGTTTGTTCTGGTTTCCTGTCTGATTAGGGTTCCCATCCAAGGTGCCTGCCCATAATTCCTTAGCTTTAATCGTTACCTTGTATGCAGAAAAGTTGCGATTTGTCAATTACAGCATGCCCATTCACGCACTACAGTGCGTAATTCACGCACAAAATTCTAGATGCACGTATAAAAATTGTAAGCAGGGGGTACATGCACGCAAAGTAAAATCGTCAGAATGAATGTTTGGGATAGCCTATGTACGCTTAATTTTGCCTGGGGACGCATCAAACTACCACAAATACGTCAGCGCCTGTCAGTCTATAGGTAGGCGGTCCTATGCACATCGACCCTAAAGCGATTAGCCAATCAGCGATAACACTTTCAATCATTATCACGCAATAGAGATCAGACTAATGTATACACGTGCTGTACATGTAATTACCAGATATAACACGAGGTGATAATTTAACATCTTTGATCAACAGTTGATTGGAAATTAGCAAATTTTACCGACAAAAGGATAAGAATATCGACTATTTACGCCGCAAGTTTAAAGAGTGTTTTCTCAAATTACAAATGAGTGTAATTTTGAATTATTCTCGAAATTTTCGGCACTTTCTAAGCAAAATTTTGCTTTCGTTTCATTCTTGCAAAAACGTTCTATAAGAGTTTTAATAATTTAACATATTGTGCCGAAATGCCAGGACAACTAACCAAAATACACGTACGCTTTTCTTTGATCCAAAAATTGATCCCGAACATCGGCGATTTCACGTTCGCCGGAATTTCAGAAACCCTAAAATTTCGCAAAAATTCTCAGTTTCCAAGCCAAACATGAGAATGAATTGTTCCTTTATTATTAAATCAGCATTAAATCTTTAAATATCGATCTTCAATTTGCCCCCATTTTGAAGATATTTGCTAAAATAATTGTCGATCGGATGAATCTCTTAACACACTCTGTGAAGCTGTACACGATTTTCCTATTCATTACCCTAAACGCTGCCTATATACATTTACGTTTGTTTTTACAAATATAAACTTTTTGTCTATAGAGTGAAAAAAAAAAAAAAAAACGATTTCCATGTGTTGATGCATTAAAATGAAATGATTTCATGAAAAATATTAACAAAACAAAACAATAATTATACTATATAATACTACATTTATATAAAATGTTCTTACAAACAAAAACATGTTTAAACTTATGTGTACCCCCAGATTTTGAAATGTACCCCAAATTTTCAATGACAGGGGGCACATGTACCCCTACATTTAAAATTGAGTGGGCATGCTGCAATTATCTGATTACTCTGCACTAACAAAGTTCTATGCTCCTGCGTATATGAATGAATTATGCAAATGAGCCACGTTGAGCCGCCATGTTGGAGTTTCGGTAAGCGTGTTGGAAATTGCTACCTGTTCGTTTTGAAAGCTTGTCCTAACTTACAGTTTCCTTGAATGTAGGAAAACTTGGTTTTGTTTGATTGCATACTGAACAGGTCTAGGATTTCATGATATTTATAGACTGTCCGTAAATTTATAGACAGTCTAGAAATTAAAAGATTTTTCAATCCATAAATTTACAGATATTCAATGTGAAATTTGCTGTTTTTAGCTTAACAATAAAATCCGCAGCTAAAGACAATTTGTTTTATTGATTGTTTATATTTACAAAGGTAATGGGGTGAGTTTCATCTTTGTACGATGATTTTGAAATTTTTGTTAAAAGTGAAAATTGAGAGTCGTCAAACTGTTCTGAATCTTAGCAAACTGTTACAATTAATCATACAATACCTAACCTTATTTATTTTAACCTGCAACCTGCGGTTTTAAATTTCAATGCAACTTCTACTATTTTCTTACTTAATGTCTGTAAATTTACAGATAAGAAAATCTGTAAAATTATGGATTGTCCAAAAATTTACAGACTGTCCGTAAATATAATGAAATCCTAGACTGCTGAATGATAGGTATTACAAAATAAATATAGTGAAAATCGATCAATCAATAATTGTATACGAGCGTTATTAAGTCAATTTAATTCGTCAGAATAATAAGATTCTGTTGCAGGGTATCGGTAAAAGACTGCTTTTTTTCCCGTTTTTGAAATTTATTTAAAAACAGTGACAATTTTTCTCAAACAGGTTTATGAATATTCTTTACGTTGCAACAGGGTTTACCCTGTGTCCATTCCTTATTTAAATTGTCTAAGAAGTTAAATCTGTTTGTTAACATGTAAATGTGTACCGTCATTTTGACCGACTGGAACAAAAACTGTGACGGTGATAATACCGGATATGTAATGAAAATTACGCCGTGTAGTGCAAAGTTTTGGACATTGCAATTAAAATTAACGCTAGCGTTAATTCAAACTGTTCCTTGTCAGCAAAATTGAAACCGAAAGTAGTGGTTGTCCTAGAATTTAATCGAATAAAATGGGTGGGATTTAACCACCGCTCATGCCCTGTGCGAACGTTTTGTTTACATCTGGTCGTAGCATAGGGTAAGGGTGCAAAGTTTGTTAGTGCTCTGCTGTTTATCATTGCGTTACGGCGCCCAACAAGAAATGGCACTGAAAATTAAACTGATAGGTATAGAATTCAATATTTTTTTATTTTTTTCCATTATAAATATACACATGTAGTCGGCAAGCCAAAGCCCGGAGCCTCTTTGTGCCCCCGTAATTTGAGTTCCATTTATCAAGAAATGTTAAGGCAAAATGTTTGTTTTGGCATATTTTGTGAATTAAAATGTTCTCTGTAAGAGAACAGAAAATGGATCATTTGATCTGTTTGGATATGAATAATATGAAAGTTGGCAAAGACTTTAAACAGGGAAAGTGACTTGTCAATTTCATACCATTTTTGTTGGTAAATAGGGAAACCGGCATTTTCATTTTAAATTTGTCATTTCATGCACCTCAAGAATTATTCTGAAAATTGGTGATTGTTCTGTTTCAGAGGTCATGGTACATTTATGGAAGATGGTAGACATCATGCTTCTGTAGCTGGAGTGGTGCAGAGAGTAAACAAGCTTATCTGTGTTAAACCCCTTAAAACTAGGTAAGAGTAGACATGCATGTGTAAAACTCTTAAAATCTAGGTAAGAATAAGCATTTTTGTGTCGCTTTGAAAAAGGCGACATATAGGGATTACTTTTGTCGGCGCCAGTGTCGGCGACAGCATCCCTTTAAGCTTGTCAGGAGCAAAAGTCAGTCAATATAAGTCTGATTGACTTCAAACTTGCTATGCATGCTTCTTATTATGACCCAAAGTGCAGTGCACAAGAACTGGTACTCTGCACTTCTTATTTTTTGAGTTACTGTAAATCACTTTATATTCGCGTGATCTTTATTTCGCGAAAACCCCATCCCCAGATTATTTCGCGTATTCATGATTTCGCGATGGCAGGGTCAGAAATTTATATTCGCGATTGTTTGAATTTTATTTTCGCAATATAACAAGGTAGCTTTACATTAATTTCCATACTGTGCCGCACTTATTCACGGTAAATGTTAATAGTGTCAATAAGAGACAGTTATTTATTTATTTTGTATACAAAAAATACCTACAAACATGTAATTGACTTGTTATGAACGGGTTTCCTTATCATTCATTAAATTTGGTTATTGTTTGCAAAAAGCGTATTTGATAAAACGTTAAATGTTTGTAAGAAGGTGTAATATACTTGTTTATGGTACTTAATCTACACTACGTAAATTGTCCGTTGATTATAGTTTTACCGTAAAACTATTGTTATCTAAACAATAGGTGTTCACATTTGGCTGTAAAAGGCAAAATTTGTATATTTTGTCGCAAAATAATGTTAGCATTTTGTGCTTGATATACATGTATTCATGAGGAAAAAAGGAATTGGAAAAATCTGCTGGTAAAGCTTCATATCTTCATAATGATATGAATAAAACATTGCACATATTAACTATTTTGTAATCAGTTATTGTATTCATTATCAAACTTAATAACAATTCGAAAATAATTGTTATCAGATTTATTTTTTATAATGTATGATACAAAATTTACGCGGAATCATGAATTCGCGACGCAGCCAAATCGCGAATAATAGCGAAAATTAAAACATCGCGAAAAATACCGGATTTACAATATTGCCCTTTGTTAATTTTCATACTTTATTTTTGTCCGGGCCATTTCTCCTTAAGTATTAAATCTATGGACTTGAAACTTCATAGGATGATAGATCTCATTAAGAAAAAGTGCAGTGCACAATAACCGGTACTCTGATTTTCTTTTTTTTTGAGTTATTGCCCTTTGTTAATTTTCTTACTTTTATTTTTGTCCTCGCCATTTCTCCTAAACAGGGATCATTCTAGGGCGCGATTTCCACGATATCTCGCAAAAAAATCACCAAAATCTCAGAGAAATTTGTGAAATGAGAGAAAATCTCGCACGGCAATTTGAGCCGGAAAATGTCTAATCACAATCAAAAGAATGCTAAAGTTACACAAAAATATGATGAAAAATTCACGATTCCCATCAAGAATTTCATTTCAAATTGTTTATTAATGAAATCGGTGTAAAAAAACTCCAAAAAGTAGTCCAACACTTTGAATTATTTAGCCTAATAATTGCCGATCGGAGACCGCAAATTCACCTTACGGTATGATGGCTAACCTTTATCTATCTGTAAGTCGAGAATTTACATAAAACACTTTTAATTGATTTTAATAAAAATTGTTAGACACAGACTTACATAAAAATGGACATGTAAAAAACAAACACCGGTAAAATTTGTCTTCTAAATGTAACATCAACCACGGTAAATTTTGTCGTAAAGAACAAATTAAAAAAAATTGTTTTACGATTCCTGGTGAAATAGCCGAAAATAAATATTTTTTTATTGAACAAAAATATTTAATTTTATATAATTGCAATCAGCAACAGCTAGAATTGTGAATGTTTCAGCAGAAAACAGACAAATATTCATTTGTCACATATTTTCACGATGTCGTGATTAAAAAAAAATACTAAAACGAAGCTTAGTGTTATTTAAAGGTGTTTTATAACACTAAAAATGATGTTTATGAATAAAAATTACTTTAGGTATACATTGTTTATATTTGTGGATATGGAGATATTTGTCATTATGTGTTCAGGTCACATATTCAATGAATATTTTTTTAATGGAGGGAGGTGTGTGAAGAGAATCATAAAGAAAACAAAATGTAAGGTTTTAAAAAATATTCTTCAAATCTCAACAATCACTTCTGTTCAGTACAGTGTTGTCCATTAGGAACATTGGCTGCAAATAATAGTTGTAGTAGATATCCATTTATAATTCTTTTATATTTCAGAATAAAAGTGTTATATTTATTTTTCACAACTAGAATTTTATTATGTTTAAAAATTCACAAAAGAAAAGGCATAGGATGTGTTAAAAAAGTGAAAACAAAAATCCCTGTAATAAACAGAGCTACATCTTCTTATATCCTCATTAGATAAACAATGTTTATTATGTACAGTGATTTTAAAAAGTTAGAAATTTCTATATTTTTAACCTCGCCCATCATGAAAATTAAATCTCTCAAGAAAATCTAATTTCTCTCATTAAAATTTCTCAAATGAGAGAAAATCTCTCACTAAAAATCCTGACCAGAATGATCCCTGCTAAAGTATAAAAGCTATGGACTTCAAACTTTAAAGGATGATATATCTCATTAAGAAGAAGTGTAGTGCATAAGAACTGGTACTCTGCATTTCTTATTTTTTGAGTTATTGCCCTTTGTTAATTTTCATACTTTATTTTTGTCCAGGCCATTTCTCATAAACTATAAAAGCTTTAGACTTGAAACTTAATAGGAAAATGCTGCTCTGCATTTCTTATTTTTTGAGATTTTGCCCTTTGATGATTTTCAAATTTCATTTTTGTCCTGGCCATTTCTCCTAAACTATATTGTTCACAAGGCGACACATTCGACTAGCGGAGTTCTAGTTATAAGTGTTAAACCTTTCAAAAACCAAGGTGAACTTACAGGCTATTTTATCAGGATAAAATATAATGATAAAACCAGGTAAGAATAAACTACATGAATCGCACCATTTAAAACCAGGTTGGAAAAAATAAATATAAGAAACCTCATCTTCAACACAAAGATGATTGGAACGATGTTTTTATGCCCCCGCCATGTAATGGCCGGGGCATATAGTGTTACCCTGTTCCGTCATTCCGTCCTTCCGTCCTTCTGTCATTCCGTCATCATCAGTTTCCGTTCAGTATCTTAAGAATGGTTGCACACATTCAACTCAAAGTTCGAATTTGGTCATGGTTCGATGATTTATGGCAGAGTTATGCCCCTTTTACTTTGAAAATAATATGAAATTTCAGTTTCCTTTCATTATCTCCCCAACAGTACAACACATTCAACTCAAACTTGACACATGGATATGTCATGCGAAAATACAGGTCAAGTTCGAATTTGGTCATGGTTCGATGATTTTTGGCAGAGTTATGCCCCTTTTACTTTGAAAATAATATGAAATTTTCAGTTTCCGTTCATTATCTCCCCAACGGTACATGTTATTCAACTCAAACTTGACATATGGATATGTCATGAGAAAATACAGGTCAAGTTCGAATTTGGTCATGGTTGGATGACTATTGGCAGAGTAATGCCCCTTTTACTTCGACAATAATATGAAATTTCAGTTTCCGTTCATTATCTCCCCAAAGGTACAACACATTCAACTCAAACTTGACATATGGATGCCTCAAAGGAATGCCCAGGCCAAGTTCATATTTGGTCATGGTTCAATGATTTTTGGCAGAGTTATGCCCCTTTTCACTTTGAAAATAATATGAAATTTTCAGTTTCCATTTATTATCTCCCCAATGGTACAACACATTCAACTCAAATTTGACATATGGATATGTTTTTGGAATGCCCAGGCCAAGTTCAAATTTGGTCATGGTTCAATGATTTTTGGCAGAGTTATGCCCCTTTTCACTTTGAAAATAATATGAAATCATTATCTACCCAACAGTCTTACATATTCAACTTAAATTTGACATATGGATATGTCAAAGGAATGGGCAGGTCAAGTTGGAATTTGGTCATGGTTTGATGATTTTTTGGCAGAGTTATGTCCCTTTCACTTTGAAAATAATATAGATACATCTTAGGAATAAGCAGTTTAAGTTTGAATTTGGTCGTGGTTCAATGATTTTAGACAAACTTATCTTTCCTGAATGTTGGAAAAATTTTGAACTTTCAGTTTCAGCACTGATACTTTTAGCCATTATTTTGGCTACAAATATGCAATATGCTATTTTTAAAAGGTTAAGACTGAATAATTTCAGTGCCTTGAACATTGTATGAAAATGGTGTGTGTTAACATTGAAAAGTTTTAAGGGCTTTTGAACTTAAAATGAAAAAAATAATTAATGCACCATCTGAAATTTTGGCTGCATGCGGGGGCATCCGTGGCATGATGACACATTTCTAGTTTTTATAATGGACCAGTTTCAAACCTACATGTATTAGTTCTTCATCACGATGATGTATAATGTCAAATTAATAAAAAGCAATACAAGATTATAGTGGAAAAGTCACTGACTGTATATAACATAGAAAAGAATTTAGTTACTTATTATAGATCCAAATGAATTAATTTTGTTGTTATGATGACAACTTTGGATATGAAATTGTTTCAGGTATAACGGTGAAGTAGGGGATATTGTGGTGGGAAGGATCCTTGAAGTAGGTTTAAAGCGTTGGAAAGTTGACACACATGCTAAACTTGACTCTGTTTTGATGCTGTCCTCTGTAAATTTACCTGGTGGAGAACTGGTAAGGGGTTTCTCTTTGGGTTTTTTTGTAAGTATGACTAATATTTGCACAAAAGGGGTCGTTGGTATGATTCTCAATGATGTGATTTTCCAGTCAATATTGATCTCGGACATACCGTCATTTCATGATTTGTCTCTGGCCACTAAATCATAAAACCATGTGAGATAAAGTCACTTATGGGGAAATTGGTCATTCCATCCTGTCACACCGTCATCATCAGTTTCCGTTCATTATCTAAGTAACTGTTGCACACATTCAACTCAAATTTGACATATAGATATGTAATAAGAATACACTGGTCATGTTCGAATTTGATCATGGTTTGATGATAGCTTACAGAGTTATCCCTCTTGAACTTTGTAAAAAATCAGAAATCTTTTGTTTCTGTTAATTATCTTCCCAACAGTTTTTACACATTCAACCCAAATTTGACATAATTTTATAGATACATCTTAGGAAGAAGCAGCTCAAGTTTGAATTTGGTCATGGTTCAATGATTTTGGACAAAGTTATCTTTCTTGAATGTTGGAAATTTTTTGAATTTTTCAGTTTCAGCTCTCATACTTTTGTGGAAATGTATGTAGTCATTATTTTAGCTACAAATATGCAATATGCAATTTACAAAAGGTTAACACTGAATAGTTTCAGTGCCTAGAATTTTGTATAAAATGGTTTGTATTAACATTGAATAATTCTAAGGGCTTTGAACTTAAAATGAAAAAAAATAGTTTGTGCAAACAAATTTGGAACTCAATATTATAACATCTGACATTTTGGCTGCATGTGGGGGCATCCGTGGCATGACGACACATTTCTAGTGTTTTTTTTAAGCACTGAGAATAGTTGAGCATGCTTTATGACTGGTAGCTCTTGGATTATTTTCATCTTACATGATTTGTTTTCATTTGTATTATGTGTAAATTTTAAGTTAGATATACAAGTTTAGTTTTTGGGGGACTAAGTTTTTAATTCACAATGAATAAGCTTTAGCATAATTCTACAAGCTACATCTGAATGTAATTTAAAGACATAAAATAAGGTAACTCTGTATTGTGCAATATTACAGAGAAGAAGATCAGAGGAAGACGAGAAGTTAATGAGGCATTACCTGAAAGAAGGAGATCTCATTAGTGTATGATTTATTCATCTTTTTAACATACAAGTAGGGGTTTGGCCCCGTGATTAACACATCTGATTAGTATTCTACGGATAATGGGTTCAAACACCATCAGGGGCAAGCCATTGTTACCTTAAGAAGAAACTTTTTCACTCATTGAGTGACAAAGTGCTCAAAAGTAGCTTATTTAAGGAATTTTAGGTTTTTGCAGTAAAACGAAATTTCTGTACACAAGTGTTCATCAAGGCCCATAGTATTTGTGCTGGTTAGTTCCAGGATAAGATTTGAGAGCATGTCGTAAAGCTTCATGCTCCCTGCACAAGCAATCTAAAATTAGCAAGGTATAATAATTAACTATGATACATGTTCATAAAGATAAAGAATTTATAAGTATTAACTATTGTGGTTTGTATATGCCCTAAATTCTATTACACCTCCTGGCGTCCGTCTGTCTGTCCGTCCGTAGAAACCCAGAGGTACTTGTGTGACTTGGAAAACAATGGGTAACAGTCAATTCTCTGTTATCCTATTCATTCCGCTTTTACTTGTGTGTCTTTTTTTAAGCCTTTTGTGACTAAAAATGGCCAAAAAGATCAAAGGAAAAGTCACATAAGTACCATTTTGTGAGTACGGACATCTGTCCATCCAGTTATCTGTCCGTCCGTTAGCAATTTTGTTCCCTGAGCATAACTTAAGTTCCATTTGGCCCAAAATATTCAAACTTAATAGAATGATTGTCCATATTTGGTTGAAGACCCCTATTGATTTTGAGTTCACAAGGTCAAAGGTCAAGGCCACCATCACCTGTAAACTGAAAACAGTTTAAGGAGCATAAGTTAAGTTCCATTTGGCCCACAATATTCAAATTTCATAGGATCATTGCCCGTATTGGGTAGAAGACCCAGAGCTCCAGATAATTTTTTTGGCCAAGGGGTTTTTACCCCTCAAAATTTAGAGTGAGGGGTAAAATGCAAAATCTGAAAAACGTAAGGGGTAAAATCTGTCAAAAAAGCATTTTGCATTTTTATAAATAAATTAAACTTATTGTTTTTGTTTGTTTGTTTGTTTTCTTTTTTAGAAAAACCTTTACAAATAAAATACTGATTCAATGTGAAACAATACAAAACATGCCCTGTAAAGTCAGACTTTTAGAGTATATTGGAACTCAATTAAGTTTAGGATACACAGCAAAATTATCAGGGCTTCCATTTTCAAAATTTGGAAGTAAAAGACTTCAAAATTTCTGATATTGGAAGTCACATTATATAGGTAATGAAGGAAAGGTATTAGATTTTCGGAAGTCACAGGCCAAAATGAAGGAGTAAATGACTCCTTAACTTCCACTAGTGGAAGCACTGAAATTATTTTATTTTCTAAGAGTCAGTATTTTTCTTTCTTTATTTCTGTTGGCATGTACCTTATCACGTACTCCAGTCTGAACAATTATAGTTAAAATTAGAATTAAAAAATAATAAACAAGATTTTTTTAATCTTTCCTAAAAAGAAGTATTGGTCTGAGAGAAAATTGTCCGTAAATGCAGACTGGGTACGAAAATATTGAGTACAAAACTGCAGGTGAAAATCATGTTATTTTGTTGCAACAACAAAAGTGAAAGAAATTAAAATATATTTTCGTTTATATTGAGTCATAAGCATGTCAATAGATGCCTAAACAAACTTTATACTATGTTAACGACTACGATGATTATCTGGCACAAATTTTATCAATAAATTCACAGGTTGATCTACGGGAGTTACCTCCCTTCTGTACTTCCTGCTACTTTCGTTTTTGACAACAGAATTTTTAGTTTTCAATGCAATAAAATGGAAATATATTGTATTTTTTATGCTCAAAACATCCTCTTTCTCAATATCAAATGTTTACACTTCTATTCTTTCACGCTTAAATTTTGACATACAAGCGTATTTTCATTTTGTTGTGCGTAACTGTGACGCACGAATTTTGAAAGTGATGCGTATTTTAGATTTTCTATGCGTATTTTACGCTTATACGCACGCTATCTGGAGCTCTGAAGACCCAATTTGATTTTGGGGCCACAAGGTAAAGGTCACTTTTACCTTAAAACTGAAAACAGTTTCTGGAGCATAACTTCAGTTCCTAGTAGCCCACAATATTCAAACTTTATAGGATGTTTTTCCATATTGGGTAGAAGACCCCTATTGATTTTGGGGTCACAAGGTCAAAGGTCAAGATTTTGGGGTCACAAGGTCAAAGGTCAAGGTCACTATTACTTATAAACTGAAAACATAACTTAATATCTATTTGGCCCATGGTGTTCAAACTTCATAGGATGATTGTCCATATTGGTTAGAACACCCCTATTGATTTGGGGTCAAAAGGTCAAAGTTCAAGGTCGCTTTTACCTCAAAACTGAAAACAGTTTCCAGAGCATAATTTTAGCTCCATTTGGCCCAGATTATTCAAACTTTATAGGAGAATTAACTATTGACCTGCTGGATTTAATAAAATTATAGAATAACTATTCCATCCTCCAGTATTTTTGAACTGTTCATTATCAATTTTGAAGGTATTTCTATAAAATTCAGCTAACAGTATTGATCCTGGCAACACTGCACAGATATGCAAGATAGCCTTGCTTTTATACTGATGGCAAATGTCAATTAAGGTTTTAGCAGTCTGAGGTTTAACATGACCCAATAGAGAAAATAAAAATCCCTAAAGAAAGCCCAACACAGCAAAAATGGAAATGTTGCAGGCTCGGTTTGATTGAGCCTGTTCATGGGCGGTACTGTCAAGTGCAAACTACCGTCCACTCCCCCTAGCACTGGCTTAAGCAGAATTTAACATTTAAACATGGAATGATAAAATTTTGAATTTAGAAACAACCACAGATGTGTTGAACTTATTAGATCTTTTTAGAACTTATTTATAACTTTTTTTGTTTCAAACTTCTTTCATAAATAATGTACATTTGTATCACAAAGAAGTTATTTTGCTATTATTTTCCTGCTTAGTGGTCCAAATAGGGCCCTTTTGTTATCACACAAAGAAATAAAACAAAAACGAAGAAATAAATTAAAGTTTTAGTAAAACTTCGCATATAAGCCTCTAATAGCATTTTAAAATATTGTTGTAACATATTTTGTTTACAGGCAGAAGTTCAGTCAGTATATTCCGATGGGTCATTATCACTTCATACAAGATCACTGAAATATGGAAAGGTTTGTTTTAGAATTGTTCAAATTTACACAGACAAAGATGTGACTTTTTAAGACTATTAGTGAAGACCACTCATTTTTCATTGCAAATCAAAAAATTTATGGAATGAACCAAAAAATGATAAGAAGAAATATAATTTGATGTCTGCAATGTTATACATGTATAATAAATTATACTACAAATAAAGCTGAATGACAAAATTTTGTAAACTATGGACATCAGATTTATAGCTCTATAATCTTAAATATCTGATCATTATACATCTTAGTCTGCTATGGACAACTGGTTCTACTCTTGCAGCAAGTGCATGCAGACATCATCTAGCACAACTGAGCCTTTGACAATCTAGTTATGACTTATGGTCTTGACCTAAATTGTGTTTGTGTGCCGTAAAACTATACCAAACAAACAAACTTGACTTTGGATTTTATGTGTATACTGATTTTTAATGTAGGTCAGTTTTATATTTTGCATAGTAAGAAGATGTTTCCATAAATCTTTTTTTTCAATAAAAACATAGGGTAACTGCAATTGAATTATTTATAATTGTCTATGTGAATGGAGAATACTTTCTTTGTAATTGTATTGTAATAGAGTATAATACTAACACGGCCTACAAACTACAATCTTGTATTTCAGTTAGGACAGGGATCTTTGTATTTGGTGTCCCCATCTCTTATAAAGAGAAGGAAAACCCATTTTCACTACCTACCATGTGGTGCCACTGTAATACTAGGGAACAATGGCTATGTGTGGATCTGTCCAACAGAAGGGGAAGTATCAGAGCAGACGGGTGGATATGAACAAAATTTAGAGGTACTTGATGACCATAAGAATCTTACAACGGATACCAGTACAGACCGGAATATCGAGCTCGAGTATAACTGTTGGGGGTAACAAGGCTAAACAAGTTACAGCTAAATAGTTACCTGAGAGCTAGATATTCTGGTCTGTTATGACCAGCCAGTGTTTGATTCTTTTTCTCGCATATTAATCATAATTTGGAAAGAGATTACGAAAACTAATATTTATACCCCCAAAAACGAAGTTTGGGGGGGTATATAGGAGTCACCCGGTGGTCGTTCGGTTGGTTGGTCGGTCGGTCGGTCCAGACGTCCGTTGCATTTTCCTTGTCCGGAGCATAACTTGAAAACTAATGGTTGGAATTCAATATAACTACATACAATGGTCAAGCACATTGAGAGGAAGTGCAGTGCACAAGAACCATAACTCTAAATTGACTAATTACAGAGTTACTGCCCTTTGTTTCTTTTCCTTGTCCAGAGCATGACTTTAAAACTACTGGTTGGAATTCAAAAAAACTTCATACAATGGCCAAGCACAATAAGGGGAAGTGCAGTGCACAAGAACCATAACTCCATCTTGACTTATTACAGAGTTATTGCCCTTTGTTTACTTTTCCATTGCTTTCTTTTGTCCGGACCATAACTTGAAGACTTATTGTTGGAATTCATTATAACTTCATACAATGGTCAAAGCACATTGAGAGGAAGTTGCAGTGCATAAGAACCAATAACTCCATCTTGACTAATTACAGAGTTACTGCCCTTTGTTACTTTTCCTTGTCCAGGAGCCATGGACTTGAAAACTACTGGTTGGAATTTTTTAAAACAACTTCATACAGTTGTCAAGGACCGATTAAAAAGGAGCCATAACTCCATTTTTGACCAAAAATTCAGAGTTACTGGCCCTTTGATTACTTTTCCTTGTCCGGAGCATAACTTAAAACGTACTGGTTTTGGAATTTTAAAACAACTTCATACCAATTGGGTCAAGCACAATAAGAGGGAGTGCAGTGCACAAGAACTATAACTCTATCTTCAGTATTTATAGAGTTATTGCCCTTTTTTCCTTTTTCTGTCTTTCTGGACTTATTACAGGAGTAATTCAATTAAACTTCATCAATGGCCAACCACATTGAAAAAGGAAATGCAACATACAATGAAACCACAATTATCTTTAATTGCCCACAACCATAACTCTATGTTTTTCAATTTCTATTTACAAGGTATTCTGTTACTAGTAACATCCTCATTTCCGAAGCAGACTTGTTGGGGTATTAATCACATTTAGTGATAGTTCTATAGTTTCATTTAGCACATTTTTGTCACAGTGGCATATGAATTTATAACTTCGTTCATAGAGCCAAAATGACATCTTTCTATAAAAACATTTCATTCATAAAAGGTGCAAGAGAATGACATTATTTAAAGCATGTGATTTGTTTTACACGGGGGTGTAAGACAGGTGTTTCTAGCACTGGTGTAAACAATAGATAATCCTGTCTGATATGCAAAAAATAACAAATCTTTTATAATTGTCAGAATATAAACAAAACTAACAAGTCAGCTTCTCTGACATTTTGTTTGAGAAAGATTTTGGCCAGAATTTTAATTGGATGAAATATTGATTTATAGATTTTTCGGTAGATTATGATTTTTAGGAATATAAAAATATATAAAATATAGAAATGTAGGTTTCCTTAATCCAGTAGGGCAAACAAAATAATATTTGTTTCCTTTATTACTTCAGCCTGTACTGAGGGCAGATCGGGAGGTTGTGGCTCGGTTAGGTAACTGTGTTCAAGCATTGGCTGATCATAAATTGATGTTGTTTGACACAAGTATCCTCTACACTTATGAAGCATCTCTTAAGTTTCCTGTAAGTATGAGGGATTTTAATTTTTCACCACTTGATATATATAGCTCAGTAACTTGTGTAATAAGACTTTTTATCACATAAACCACCTGATAGCAGGAGTGAAAGAAAGCCATTAAATAAAAAAAATTATAACACTAATAAGTGTAGTAACACTTTGACATGACATCATTCGTGTCATACATATAAAAAATATAGCATTGAATTATGCTTATTGTAGTGTTACACTATAGGCACCTCAATAAAAATAACTCTTTTATTAACAGTTTACCATTCTTATTTTACATATCTATATGTCATAGATAGAATATTATAGTCTTGTAGTTTGCTGTAAAAAAAGACATAAGTTGATATCCAAATCTCAGAGGCGTTCCACATACTACCATAATCCCAGACGACGGTTCAAAACTCTCCCCCCCCCCCCAACCCCACCCATTTAAAACTCTTAGAACTGTGCGTTTATTTGAGAGGTTTTATTATGTGAATATGCAGTGACCATTTATTGTATTGATGACCTCTTGTTTTTACAGATTAAAGATATATTGAAGCCTGAAGTTGAAAGACAGAGATAATTGACTTAGCCAGGCAGAGGTTAGAACGTGAAGGAACTTGAAAAATGATACAACATTTTGTTACAGTAATTATGACATAGAATATGAGATACATTCTGGGCAGAGATATTTGATACTGGAATTTGGATGGTAGATGTCTGGAACAGTGAGATGTTAATGATGTGTTGATATGCTGACATTCAACAAAATGTTCTACAGTAGTGTAAACTGGATTGGCTATTTCAGAGCAATGTAAAATATCCTGTGCTCAAAAGAATATTTATAAAGTTAATGAAAGTTTCACTACCAAATATATATATGTACAGATGTTATAGATATATGTTAAGTCATTATATTGAGAACATAATAACTGTAACCTGACTTGGGTTGTCCTACTTGTTTTAAAGAGAGCAAGGGTGTCAATCTCAGTTTTTTTTTACTTACATTTAATACTCCTAAGCAATAAATGAAGAGTATTCCAGAAGGCACTGTCTTAAAGATCCTGTAGCACATTTTTTCATGGTTTTATTTCATAAATATGATGCTCAAATTAAATTTTGTCAATATTGTAAGTTCCAATAAGCATTATTTATAAAGATATTACCGAATTTAACACCAAGGGACAACTGTTTGACTGTTCCCAAATCACTTATGAAATAACTGTTTTATTGCTTGATCAATTACTGTTTCAACAAAACTTGCATAAGAAAAAGGGAACAAGAAAATAATTTTGCAAATATGTTAATAATTAAACTTTCTGAATTTAACAATATTTAACTCTGCATCACGATTTGGTTTAGACTGGTTTTTGAGCTTTCAAGGGGGGATTGTCAGAGCAGGCAGGGAAACAGTCAAAAAATATTGCTGGTCAAAAAGTTTTTGAATGTAGACGTGTTTTTGAATTAGAAATCAGTAAATAATACCAAATTTAATTTTTTATAAGGTTCACATTGTATCAGGGAATAAAAAAATATATTTAACCCATTAGTTATATATTGTTTAAAAAGGTATGGGAACCAATCTTGCTTTTTATGCTGTTAACAGTGAACATTAACTTTTTAGACTGGCAAAAAAAAATGAATTTTTTATTTTTAAGATACAAGTTTAAAAATTAATAAAAAATTATGACAAAAACTTTCATTTCCTCATCATATGGGGTTTTAAATTTTGGACAGGATTTTGAAAATTTTTAAAATTATATGAAAAAACTGTAAATTATAAATCTAAGATGTGAAATGCTGCCTTTTATTTTAAGAGCAGTTGAAAATACTGTGAAATTATATTTATGATAAGTGACCGGCTCCGTGGTCGAGGGGTTAGAGTCGATTACTTCTAATCCAGTTAAAACTCCTGGGGGTGGGTTCGATCCCCGGGAGATGCTTTGTAGTTTTTAGCGCGGCGGAGGATAGG